AGGCAGAGGGAGAAAAGGAAGGAAGGAAGAAAGGAAGGAAGAGGACAAAGGGTGAGTGAGAGGCAGAGGGAAAAAGGAAGGAAGGAGGGAAGAGGGGAGAAAGGAAGGAAGAAAGGGGGATGAAGGGTGAGGGAAAGGCAGAGGGAGAAAAGGAAGGAGGAAAGGAAGGAGGGAAGGGAGATGAAGGGTGAGTGAGAGGCAGAGGGAGAAAAGGAAGGAAGGAGGGAAGGAAGGAAGGAAGGAAGGAAGGAAGGGCGAGTCCTTGTGGCGCAGTGGTTAGAATGCCATATTGCAGGCTAATTCACTGCTCACTGCCAGCAGTTTGATGCTGACTGGCTCAAGGCTGACTCAGCCTTCCATCCTTCTAAGGTGGATAAAACAAGGACCCAGATTGTTGGTGTGTGGGGGGGGGTGGGGAAAGACGCTGACTCTGTAAACCGCTTAGAGAGGACTGTGAAGCACTTTTGTAAAGCGGTATATAAGTCTAAGGGGCTCCTGCTGTTGCTAAGTTCTTGGAAAAGGAGTTGATGGTTATAAAGGCCAACAGCAGCTAAACAACGGGTGATTGTTGTGATTTCACCTGGTTGCAGGTACTTTAGTAATAATGCCTTGGGTGCAAAATCCACTTGAGTTCCATCGGCCTTGACACAACCCCCCTCAGTCAATTGCAAAAGGCAGCTTGACTTGGAACAGCTGACATCCTGCGGTGAGGCTTTTAATCCCCTCAACCTTCCACATCTGGTTATCCCAGGTCTTTGGGAAGGACTTGATGGGTGGACCAAAATCCCAAATCCAGACTGGACATCTGGCTGACTCAGCATTCAACCATAATAGTAATATCAGCGTTGACAATATCAACATCGGTCAATTGCAAAAAAAAAAAAAAAAGGCAGCTTTGCTGATAACGACTGACCTCCGGAGATCTTGAATGCCATCAAACTTCCACATCTGGGAAGGACCGGAGAAAGTTGGACAAAAATCCCAAATCCAGACTGGACATCCAGCTGACTCGGCATTCAACCATAATAGTAATATTGGCATTGACAATATTGGTCAATTGCAAAAAAAAAAAAAAAGGTAGCTTTGCTGGGAATGGCTGTCTGGAGATCTTTAATGACACCAGACTTCCACATCTGGGCAGGACTGGAGAAAGTTGGACAAAAATGCCAGATCCAGTCTGAACATCTGGCTGACGGCGACCAACCCCCAAGAATGGAAATTGATAAGACTTTTGGGCTTAACTGCCCAGCTTTTAAATTTTTCAACACCCAGCTCAGGCTGCTGCTAACTCTGCTCTGCACAGCTTGGAGCGCTGTTCAACACACACACACACACACACACACACACACACCTCACCGCCCACGCTGTGTGCTGACACGTTTGGAAAAGTCTTCAATCATCTTTACAACCCTCTTGACTGAAAACTTAGAAATGACTCGTCCATCAAACCATCCTATGACTTCTAACTGGTTTTCCAGGGTTATTTTGGGAGGGCTCCCTTGGCAGGAACACCGCCCCTCCCCCCCCCGGTTTGGAAAGCCGCAGAGGGTGCCCCCAACCCTATTTGCACTCCCCCCCTCAACCCTCTTCTCTCCATCAGCAAAGACCGGGCACGCTTTCCCCACCACCCAATCTTCCGAGTCCCCAACCTTTTTTTTTTTTT